ACAAGGACCGTCGCCGCGTAGAGAGAGAGAGAGAAGAGTTTGTTTTGGAATGCAAAACAAAACAGGGAGTTGTATTTTGGGAATTTTGGGACACGTGTTTTTGCATGCGCTTTGAACATTTGTTTGCATGCAAGGTCTTTTGGTTCAGGTGACCAAAATTTTGTTCCCACCCTTCCATCCCTGGTTGCGTGTGCAACAGCATCCATGTGGATGCGGCCCATGTGGGCCACAGGTGTTTCACATGTGTATCATCCATGTTTCGTATTCGCAGAATGCCTAGCCCGATCGTTGTCAGGCGGTGGCATCCTGACATCGTGATTCCCCACAGCGTGAAAAGTGCGTGTTGCAGCTTCTGTGTTCGTTCAATTTTTGATATATGTAGATCTGAGTTGAGTGATTGGAAATATTCTCCCGTTCTTTGCATTAAAGTGAAAATAAGAAGCTTTGAAATCTTGAGTCGACTATGCCGTAGAGCGATTTAAGAGGTAGTAAGGCCTCACAAAGTGCAATGAAACAATTGCACGTTTCACCAGGCAAAATGCCGAAGTGCAAAAAAGTAGTTACTTGGAGAGTGCTGCGAGGTGTCAAGATGACACAGAATTAGATTTTTGGAGGCGATGACTTGAACTGCTTTGCACGTGCAAAGTGAGCCGACGTCTTTAGTTGTCTGTTTTTGTTGTTTGAGGATGGTCGTTCGAGTGGTTGATTATGATTATCCGTTTTGATTACAATGGCCTTCAAGTTAATGGCGACAAAAGTGGGCATGGCCCAGAAAAGATCAAGCGACTGTTGAGTCGATCGATAGCATGGTGATGGAAAGATTCTATTGCTTAACGCATTTGATGTGACTTCGAGAGTCAAGTTGCGTCAGACCGTTCAAGTCGTCACAACCGCCCGAGACGGGTATATGATGATCGATCCTTGAATGATGAAGTCTTGATAATGTGATCTTTGAACTTTGAACCTTTGTTGTATGATCGGCTGAGTGGTATCGCCCATGTACAGTTTGAGTTCGACATTGGATGAAGAGCACCACGCAAGTCAAAGAGGGCGTTACAAACATTTCGATTGTACATGTGCCCAATATGAGCCTTGTAGTAATGCATGTTTCACTCCGCTGTATAGGCTCAAACCGCACCCCAGACAGACTGCAACTGCAGAGTAAAAGTGTGCCGCCTGCGGTTAGGTTGGAGTGGGTAGGATAGGTAAGAGTGGACCTTAAGATTTGGTCTAAAACTTTCACGCTCGCTCCAGGATCCCACGCAAGAACTTGGAGAGGGCCCTCGGTCTGCTCATGTGGGCGACCAGCACTCGCGCACGCTTGAGGCCTTACATGGCTCCCCTCTACCAGGATCTGCGCAGCGGCTCGGGTACCTTGTGCAACATCCACGCAAGAGACTGGCATCGTTTCCTGGACGCTCTCTCCCCGCAGGAACAGCCATTAGGCATGTGGATAACCATTGGCGCCTAACTGCTCGAAGTAGGCTCGCAGAAGATACAAAGCAAGGCAGACGTCCCCAGAATTCCGCCTTCGCGCCAGCCGCAGTGGGTACGTTCGGCAGACCCATCAAGACACGAAATCCACCTTCGCAATGAAAGCAGATCCGCGCTGCGCTGGCTCTCATCATGCTTCTCGCGTGACCAACTTCGCACAGTCAGGCAAGCGCCGTAATTGCGCTGCCTCGCTGAAGCCGATGCAATGGCAGAAGGATCCACCGTAGGCGTAGGCGGTTGGATTAGCGCCTCGCAAAGTTTTGTATGGTTTCCCTCACCTGACAAAAAAGGCCCAAGCTTACATTGCATGCTTCGAAACAATCGCGCAGCTTGCGCTAGCCATGACGGCCGTCGCACGCATGCACACCAAGCACTTTAGGTTCGTGTTGCCAGCCGCCTCCGACAAAACAGCAGCTGAGTCAGGCATTAACAGGCTTTTCACCGATTCTCTTCAGACCGTCGCCGAATGGTCCGCGCGCAGCAATGTTCGCCTAGCACTCACGCACCTGGCAGGCGAAAAGAATATCCGGGCAGACGAGCTTAGTAGAAATCGCCCTGCGACGCTTCTTGCAACGCGCGCACGAGAGAGAGCGCGTCTCCCTCCCATCCTTAGCATCGCCCAAAGGGACAGCCACCCTGCACCTGCCGCGTGCGGCATGGGCCGAAGAGCTCAGGTGTGCACAGCATCCCTCCTGAGTACTCGCATAGACAAAGGTGGGTTCTTTGGTTGTTCACAGCAACGACAAGCGCGCAGACTCTAGTTCAAGCTTGCTCTTTGCAGCCAGGTACTCTGCACTTCTGACGCGGAACCTGAAGTGGGGGTGGAATACGAGCCTCCTCAGATGCACGTGCATTCTTAAGCATCTTGTGGCAAAAAGGTAGTGCTCGCTGACTCGCTGACTAGCTGCGCTTCTTGGTTTGTCACACGCATTTAGGAACATGCTTTGATCGTGACATGTGTTTTTTTGGTCATGCATTGCATGTTTTAACATGTCCTTTGCGTTAGCGCTGCATGCATTACATGTTCCTGTAGCGCGGGTTCAAACCGGCAGAGAGAATTTTTTGACCCACTCTCCACACCCTAAGGGCAACGCATTTGCCGTAGCACGCGTTGCTTAGCAACGCATTGCGAGCAATAACGCATCGCAACGCAATAACCTTCAGTTTCACCTAGTTTCACAGGGGGTGGAATACGAGCCTCCACAGATGCACGCACATTCCCAAGCATCCTAAAAGGTAGTGCTCGCTGATTAGCTGTGCTTCTTGGCTTGTCAGCATAAATTTCGCAGCCTTGTCTGCAGGCCACAGACTTAGGCTTGACCTGTGAGAGACAAGCTCTAGTTGATTCAGCGCATTGGAAATCCTGTTATCATATGTTAGCGCAAGTGCGCAAGTACCGAGCGTTTCCAATGAACAGAGGTCCTGAGAAAGCAAGTCTCAAAAGATGGATGCAAGGCAACTGCAGGCTGAAACCCCTCTTGGACGAAAGAGTGAGCTGAAGTGAGCGAAGAAACTTTTATATCATATTGAGTGAACGAATTCGAATTCTGACATGAATATTTCATTTGAAAATTTTGCCGGTCCGTATGAAAAATAAGAAAAAATGTCTGCAGGAACGGTGTAGTCAAACACTATTTTGATCAGAAACTTAACAGTATTATCAATTCCAGCCAGATTTGGACATGTCTTCTTTATGGGTTTGTGTAGTTCCATTCTCTTTTCCCAATGTCCAGTTGAAAACACATGCTCGGTTGTTAGAGTGTCCATGTGTGGGTGGTTTTTGAGGGTTGCACGTGCTTTATCTTCGCACATATAGTTCGCTGCAGCTTGCTTCCTGATCAAGATATAATTGGACAAACGCAGGTTATTTGTACGCATTCAATACCAAACCATTGAATACACTTTACCCTGTAAAGACTTGCAAGTTTTGCAGTCCATCGTCCGTGTCATGGGATGAGCATGCTGTCGTTTGCGGAACTTGAGTTTTTACATGTCGTGAAGATTTGAAATAGCAGGAACATGGACATGAGTTAAAGATCCACAGCCAATGGATGCTGGAACTGGTGATGCCAAATCATGCCTGGTGCCCAGCGCATCAATATTTCTCCAGGCGATCAGAGGAAGGGGTCCATTTCCACTGCATGTGGGCCCAGGTATCAAAGAAGCCGAGGAGCCGAGCTTTGCAGCAATGCTCTTGTCCCCCCAAAGTTTTCAGATGTCGAGGACGGTTTGCTTGTATGGCAGTTTTCACGCGAGCTGTACCTGCATCTTCACAGACAGGTGAAGAGCAAATATCGAGCCCGTGAACTGCTTGATCGAGCTCTACAGGCAAGAATAGATCGCAAGCAAGAAGAGGCCAATTGTCAGCACTTCGGCTGCAAGAGACATGTTGTCACAGTTTGCATGAATGTCCTGCCAATTGTTGCGCCATTTGCTGGTGTCTCGTGGGGTCCGAGTCACGTTGGCAGCATTCGGTGTCCACACACTGCTCTTTAGGCCATGGGGGTTCCTTGTGTAGATGATGTTGGCACGGTTTGCTTTTGATCCTGATGTCCGTCATTCTTCTCGAACACTTGTTTTTTCTTTGCCCTGCAGTTATCCAATTTCTTCCGCGGGCTGCAAATCACATTTTGTTCGATTCTGTGTGCTCAATCCGGCACATTCCGAGCAGTTCTATGCACTGCTTCATAAGTTGAAAGCTTCATCCGGACCTCAAGTTTATCCCCACATGGTTACGCCACTACCCTTTGCCAATTCGTCAGAGTTCTGCATCCATACGCGTGGATGTTAGTTACCTACATGTCACGATGACTTGTAACCGTCATGAAGTTCTTGAAGTCCTCTCGTTGTGAGTGATCATCAACAAATGAGGCTACAGTACATGTTCAATACCACGTTGGTTAGCTGAACCACCTCCCATATGTTTTTTTACAGGTCGTTGTAAGATTTTCATTTAGCTCATGCCGCACTGAACTTTTAATCCAAACCTTCTGGCAGACCCAATGTCATCAATTGACACCCGCTTGCAAATCCAAAATTGAAAGTCCTAGCAGTGCCTAGGTCCAAATAGGCGTTCGGACAGTCACACCTTGTTTTTGCCCAGTGAGTCCTTACAAACAAAGGCCCTGAACGGTTTGTCTGGTTTATGAGTCCCGCCCATTTAAGCGATTTCCCAATGCGCCTAAAACCGACGCACGTGCAAACATATCGCGCGATGTGTTAGTTTCAAGAACTTGTTGACAAGCATCCTTTTTAGCCTGTTCAGGCCGGTTTGATTCAAGCACCGCATTGGATATTGTTGCTAGATGTTGTTGTAGTTGCATACGCAGGTATTCTTCTTCACTTTCATTTCTCTGCCTGTGCACATGCCCACCGAAAGCACACGGTAAGATCCGCAACGCTGCTGTTGCGATCCTTTTTTGGTTTCGATGTTTGGAAGACAGATCCAGAAGTGCATATCAGTGTCAGTGGTAGATCAGACGCCGTCAGCTAGGCGACGCCAGCGACAACGCATTTTGCTGGAGCAGCTGTGTAACAGATGCTTCGCGCAGGACATGACAAGGGTAGAGCTCATGGTATACTCGTGTGGCATGTTACAATGTTGCATCGTACAAGCCATGCCAGCGATGGGCCTGTTCCCCAAGCGCATGAAAGTTGACTGACAGGAACCTGCACAAGACCCAGCTCCAGGCTCATCAAGTGGCCCTGTGCAGTTCGCCGAAGGATGTGACAGTATCCTTGCCAGGTGCAGCGTTTTGGAAACGTCACAGCTACTGCGCAAGAGCTCGATGTCACGTGGGGCACACATTTTTTTGGCTGCTGCCGTGGTTCAGGATGCTGCTCAAAGTCGTCCTATCACATGGAAGGATGTCGCTGATGGCCATATGTCCTCGTCCGTTAACAAAAGCCAGGCTTCCTGAACTCATTCGTGTTGTATGGGAGGTGTGCTTGTTGCATAGTAACCTGTAGCGAATGGGATTGCCCTCGCGAATCTTGGAGCAGGCTCAAACCGCCCGGCTTCACCGCGAATTGGCTCGTCGAGCTCCAGCACATGCAGATGATTCCATCCGGGCCGTTCTCAGTGCCCCAGCAAGCTTGTAAGAGCATGGACGACGAAGGTTCCATTTGTCAGTGGGAACTGCCTTCCTGCTCTCGATCGCCTGCACAACCCTGCAAGTGTAACCGTAACCATCAATGGGCAGCCATCAACCCGCAATGGGTTTGGAGTGTTGAGGTATCATCCGTGCAAGTGTGGGCTCTTCAGGGTTTCGTCCCGGACTTTGTCTTAAGATTCTCCCTGTCTGCATGACAGGTGGTCAACGTATGCCACGTACACCGCCAGCTTGCAAACCTTCCAGCGGGTGTCTCTTGCCAGCCCTATTAATGTCTTGATTTGCTGCCCGTGAAGATTCTAGGCCCTAAGCTTTCAAGGCGGCTTTAAACTTTGCACTTGTGTCAGCGAAGTCTTTCTCTCTGGTTGCCTGGCAGGCCGGGAATTCAGAGCGATCACTTCCAGGCACGTGTTTAGAGCCAAAGCTTGCCGTACAATTCTGCGCTTACGTTAGGTCAGCTATGACCGGAGGGAGCCGTATGTGATGGCCTACAATACGGCATCAGCAGGTGCAAACGCAGGGACTTCGGAAGCTTTCTGGCATAGTGCGCAGCCTCAGGCTTCGATCGCAAGCAAAAATGGAGTTTGCAAGAGGGACTTGCCGGAAGTTTCCGGGTCCCGAAGGCGTGGGTACGTTTTGGACTGTCCCGTCACTTGTGCTCCTGTCTTTCGTGGCTGAGGTCAGAGCAATATATGGTCACGATGAGACTGAGTTGGACATGGTTAATGCGGCGCAAGCCATGGAGCAAGTTGCTGGAGGTGGTAGAGGCTGCATCATCACGCAGGTTGCTTGTAGACTTTGTGCAGACATGATAACCCATCCGAGCCACAATGCCTTCCATGTTGGTGAATCTCCAGAATGCAGGAATGTCATGAAATCATGTGAGACTGCTTGCTTGTTGTCGCGTCTCTGGCTGCACGATGCTGTAGTTCCGCATGGGCAGGTTTTCATACCTCTTTCGTGAGGTTTCAGTTCTTGGACAATTATCAAGTAGTCAGGGAGGGAGCCTGCCTCACAAGGAAGAGGTAAAGTGTGGGCTCCCCTGGCCAGCATGCTGCAACATGTGCCCGGTCATTGGCCAGCTTTCCTTTGGTGCTTGCTCTCGCGCTTGCCCTTGAAATGTAGACTCAAGCTTAACCTGGCGCGCAGGACAACAGAATGTCTAGTTGCCGCATGACTCCAACACTAGTTGTTACCGGTCATTCTCCGCAATCTGCATTCCTTGATTCTGTGCTATGTCGCATGTGAGAAAGGTGAAATACGTATGCCCTTACAAGGTGAGATGTCTTACTTATGCTTTTTTCGAAGTGATGGGATGGTAGAGACGGACGGTAGCATTCTAGGTCGATTTGAATCTCCCACTTGGCAGACAATTCATCATCACTCAATCTGCGAGGCATTGCCAACAAGATCTTGGGATTGAGAGCCAGGGGTGCTGCATGGGACCGCATAGGCCCTTTCGCGAAAGCTGCGCAGGCAGCGTTGCATCTCTTGAGCTCTTTTCGCGCTTAAATCACGCTTGTTCCAGAGGCTGCTGCCTTTGAGATGCCCAAAGAGCTGGCGCTGGAGGTGGCACTTTGCCTTGCAGAGGCTGCCGGGGAGGCAACAGGCAGCATGGTCCACAAGGAGGCGGCATCCATGTGCAACTGCCCTGCCAGCAATTGCCGGCACGTGACTTCTTCTTAGGCAGAACCTTCAAGTCAATCACCCTGAGCGAGGTTGAGCCTGTTCCCTTGATGGACGAGATCTCAGATGCTGCTGAGGCCGGGCCTCTGAAGTGCAGGGGCAACATCTGCAGCAGCGTTGAGAAGTGCAGGCTGCTGGACACCTTTGCGCTGCCGCTATGTCTTTGTTGGCGTCTGCTGCTGCACGAGCTCGCGATGCTGACGGTCTGCCGCTTCTGTGAGTGAGTACTCATTATAGCCCTTGCTTCTGGGTCCATGAAATCCAGGGGGTCAACCCTCAGGCTTTAGATTTATCAGGCGCGCCACCCAGGATTTCAGCCAGCATAACGGGGATTTGTCAACATCGAAAATTGCCATGATCCTAGTGGTTTTGGCTTCTGCAGCCCATGGGGTCAGCCCCTGAACTTTATCCACGAGGGCGGTCCCGGTAAAGGTCAGCCCCGAGAAATTCATCCAGATAAAACGTCGTGTAGACCCTGAGATCCAGTAGCAGGGGCTATACTCATTGGATCATTAACCTTCGTACAAGTGTACGGAGGTGTTTTGTGGAACCGCATGCGTGGCACAAGTGCAGGTGTGGACTTTCCTTTACGTGGACTTGAAGTGATTGCAGAAACTGGCCTTGGCTGGGCTGCATTTTCAAACATGCGGCTCATCTGGCTTAAGCAATGTTGTCAGCCCATACCAAATTTCTGGACTTGCAGGTTTTTGGTCGCGATGTTTGCCCAGCTTCAACGCTGCAATCAGGACCTTGACGATTGGTGATGGAATTTTTTCCGTTCCATTCTGTCCAGGCCCAGCTTGAGATTTCTGAAGAAGCGGCGGCCCGACTAAGTGAGGCTGGGACTTCACACATCCCCACTTCTTCTTGAGGTTTTAATGCGCAGGTTTTGGTCTGGGCTTCTGACTGCTACGACATCGCAAGCAAGCTGGCACCTGCCGGTAGCTTTCTCGTTTTGTCCGTTGCATTCTGGCTTGACTGAAAAGAAGCTTCAATGGAATGAAGGCAGGCGCGTTGTGAGGGCTGCACAAAGGACTCTGCGTGCTATGACTGCCCACGGGCCTTGTGATGCGGGCATGCTAGCCAAGCTAGCTTTGCTTGACAGCCTGGCCGTGCGACCAGCATGATACGACATACTTATTGCAAATGTTCTGGCATTTCAAGTAGTCAATCACAACACCAACGCTTCCACCTTGCATGGACAATAAGCAGGCAGAAGGGTGACCTGCCAAAGGCAAACATGCTTTCGAACTGCTGAGAAAGAGGTCTTTGTACATGATGTGAGCAGCCTTCTTATTGGACAGTCAATGGCAGCGGAGCATTGTGAATTTCCGTGATGACATTCCTTCCTCGATCACGTTTCGGAGCTTGGCCAGAACCAAGCAAAAGACAAACCAGAACACACCTGACCAGCAAACACTCAGCATCTTATCGTATGTAGTCCAGCTCGCGGAGTAGACTAGCAGACGGTCCTCTTTTTCGGCATTTGCCAAGTCTACTGAGCTGTGTCATGTAGAGTCTGGGGTAGTAGACGTACTTGCCGGCTGGTACCCTCTACCAGAGACACGGATGGGAAGCAGCAAACTAGGCTGATGTAACGGTTGATGTACAATGTTGATAAATAGTTATCATCTTTGGTATTCTAGCTTTCCAGCCTTTGGCAATCGATGGAAGAATGGGATGAATAACCATGGAAAGGCTCGCTTGTCAAGCTAAGCAAAAATGCCGCCCTGCAATCGTATTTCTGGATTCCTGGAGGCCGCTGCCACAGTCGTCGCAGTCGCTCGAGGAGCCGAGCAACCATGGCAGTTTGTCCTGGCTCCCGGGGAGGCAGCGCACGGTCTTGTACGATCCCGCATGCTACCTGCTTTCTGCTTCATGTACTTGCTATTACTTGCTCCTCTGAGGCAGTGGTGCTCGGGCGAGCTGCTGACTGCGATGTGGCTTTGATCTCGGGTTTGAGGTTGCTGTGATCACCTGGTGGTGTCCGTCCAATGGAAGTCGCTCTTCGAGGTTCTCCAATCCCGAGGAGTGTCAGGACGGCATGCCGTCCTCCGGCACAGGTGCGCTGTGGTTCAGTCACATTGGAGCTTGGGTCTTCAGCAGCACGCTGGAATGTTGAGGCTGGTCGGCGAGGACACGCCCAGGGCTTGGACAGAGTGATTTTTCCTGGCAAGGATGCTCACTTGCGACGCTCCAGGTCCGAGATATGCCTTGAGGATACCTCGACGTAGCAACCTCGGGGACGGCCAAACTGTGCACGTACCATGCTCTATCAGAAACTTGCGAAGTCGCCTCAGACAGATAGATTCTCAAGGACCTCAGCTGGTAGGTTCCATCCGTGAGCATCGCATGAAACAAATCATTGGCATTTGCACGTTGGCCATTGGTATCCAAGTGCAGACTTCAAATCGAAGAGATGCGCGTCCAGCATCAGGAACGGCACTGGTGTGGCCTCCGGCAGTGTCCGGTACTCAGGGGTGTTCAGTTGGCTCTCAGTGCCAAGATCTGGGTCCCCTGCAGGAGTGGTTGCCTGTCCGAAAAGGTGACAGTCGCAAGCTTGGTGACAGGGTGCTGCTCTTCTTTTGCCATTTAGTTTCACTATCAAAGAAGAAAGCGATGCCTTCCCCTTAAAGTTTCAGGGTTAGATTATCAGGAGGCGGCTGGAATGATTTGCGTGAACACGTCCCCCAAACATGCTGCTTGAAAAAGGTGGAAGGCCACCAGCACCAGCTCAGCAAACGTGCGGACTAGCTGAGCACAGCAAAAATTGCTGCAGCATCAAAATGCAAGACGAGCAGCCTTGGCCCGGAAACAGACTTCTTCTAAGGTTGGCAGTATGGGCCTCTAACATGGACCCTTATCCTTAGTCTTGCCTTTTATGCGGATTCTACGGACTCTTTAGGGTAAATAAACGGCATGTAAGGATCCAGGGCTAAGGGCTCACGCCAGAGGCTCATGATTTTTGCCTTTCTTTATTTGTGCCAGCAACAATACACCCTCATCTTAGTGCCCCAGAGCGATCTGAGCATCGTACTGCATGGGTTGCTGTTCAAGTCAGGGCAACCATGTCTTTCAAGGCAAAGTCTTGGGCCAGTACTCCCAGATTCTGCTGCCCTTCAACTGCAAGGCGGAGCACCCAGAAGCTTGGATTCGAGATCTGTCCCTGATTGGCCAGGTCCATGACCAAGCAGTGGTTCTTACAGTCTCCAACTACGGCCCGGGACTTCCAGACGCGCAAGGTTCCGAGAACTGCCACGTAATCAGGATTAATGTAGCAGGTGGTCTGTGTATAAGCAGTGCAAAACCCTCCCTGGTGCTAAGGTATGATTCCAGGCACAAGACTGGCCGGTGGCCGCAGAACCCAGCATGCCGAGAAGAGTAAGCACTCTGCTGACCGTGTTAACAAAATTAAGCACGCATTCGAAAAAATCATGAAGCTCGTGAAACGAGGAGGTATCGAGGCAAGCTTGGAGAAGGTGCTTTGGGCGTTGTGCGGGCCCAAAGCACCTATTGATGATTGCTCGAATCTGTGAATGCAAATGGAGATCTTAAGCATACTGTCTGCATCACATGGCCTTCGTTGACCCTAGGCAATCTCTGGGACATGCCAGGTTTGCAGATGTCGTGCATATCATTGGTTGACCTGCATGGACACTCCCAGCCCAGGTTCACCAAGCCGTGGATGTTACAGGAAAGCTGAAAGGCGATGTGGCCATCAAGGCAGCTGATAAGCAGCATGGGATCTGTATCCACCAGCACACGAGATTGCTGTTTTGGAAGAGGTCTGCAAAGTCACCAAAGGTGCAAAGCCCACTGCAAAGGCGCGGCGGCAAAGGTGTCACATGGGGAATCTGCACGTCCAATTCAATCTATTTGGGTCCCCGCTTCTGCTGCGGTCCACATGTGAGATTCCTGCACTTCAGGTGGGGGGGATGGCCTTCGAACAGATGGGGCAGTAGCGCACAGGAGAGTGATCGCGCGTAGCACAAAGTGACGTGCCGCATTGACTAGCACACGGCGCTGCCCAATTCGAGGGGAAGGTCTGGGATGCAGCGCTTGGAGAGAAGGGTAGGCCATAAGACAATCTCCGTAAAACAATACCTTGCCCATTGCTAGGACTTTCAGTGAAGAGTCGTCTTGAACGCCCGTCTTCAATTGCTGTCCTTCATTGGGCTGTATTCCTCTCCTGACTCGACAGGCTATAACTTCTGACTCGCGTGGGTGGACCTGAAACGCTGCGTTTCATCAGAGCTGTGGAAATGGACAATGTCCGCCCCAGCTCGATCATATTATATCATTTGCACAGGCTTGCTCCTAATTAAAACGGAACGTCCGAATTGAAGACTACACCTCAACATCTTGTTGCAGTGTATAATTAAGCCATGTGAACCCCTTGACACACTAGAATACAAGGAGAGGCACATCTACCCGGGGAACATGATGGGATAAATGTCCGGATCCAAGGCTCTAAGGCTCAACGGTCCAGTGTGCCCACCGGCTCATGGGCTCGCCCAACACGGCCTCACAGACCCGCTCCACGGGTTCATGGGCCCACTGGCACTCACCCCACGGAGGACCACTGCTGATCGCGTGACGGTGAGGAGAGTCCCTGACAAAGCTATAACGAAGAAGAAGAAGAAGAACAAGAAAAAGAAGTCGCAAGGAGTTCGGAAGACCCTGGGTTTGCAGCTGGGGCGGTGAAAAGATGAGCCAAGCCACAAAACAAACCAACTGCAGACATGCCAGCAAGGGTGCAGTTTGATGAATGATTAGACTTCAGAATCATGGGCAGTTTGAATGTTTGGTGGCATGGATGAGACTTTGCAACACGCTTGCTCAGCTTCGAAGTGCCTTCATCCTTCACCGGGAAGCACAGTGGTCCTTGCAGAGGCCCGCGAAGCTTGCAGGCTTACCTGATTTGACATTTGTGATGGTTATGAGGCTGCACAATGCGAGCTATAAGGGCTTTGCGGAGAAGAAGGCTTGGTCGGGCGGGAAGCGCGCCAAGGTAGACGGGCACTTTCGGCATGCGGAACAAGAAAGTTTATGCCTGATTTCCGGGCAAGATCTGGCTACTGCTATCATCTGCTATCTGATTCTCACTTTGCAGGCAGCCCTTTTCGCTCGGTACCTGGAGGCTCGCATTCTGAACTTGAGAAACGTCCGAATTGCAAAGTCGGATGGCGAGGACCACACAGGCCAGTGGAGCCGAGACCTGGACTTCGATGCAGCCCCTCAGCTCGAAGCATCTCGCAGCCATTGCAAACAGAATTGGCCTTGTGCCTAAACAGAAATGATTTCAGAATCAAGCATTTCAGCCTGATTCCGCAAAAAATCAGTATGTTTCCAGCAAGGCGGGCAGAACATTGTCCAGCTTGCAGATCTGCGTATCTGGAACCGTAAGGGGCATCGTATCCTGTTTTCTTGCTGCACATCCTCTATTTCAGACAGAGCACACTAAAAGTTTGCAGAATCAAAGAGAGCGGACTTTGCTGAAAAGTTTTAGCGTCATGGTTTGTGGTGATACCTCGTAGGTCAACAACAATAACCACTTAATGGTGTGTTTGCGTACACAGCCAGGAGCGGGCCACTTTCGAGTCTCCTGAGTTTCGATGGGACAAGTTCAGGCGCTTGTCGGACACCAACTGACAGATGCAGTCCAGAAATTAGTTGTCTGTAGGTGTTGGTAGCAGTTTTGCTATCCGCTTCTGGAAATCGCGAGGCCTCCGGATGCACTTCCTTCGCATCCGTATGTGGCAATGGAGTTTGTTCCTGGAAGAACGCTTCATGCTGCTTTAGCCTTAGGAATGCCTGCGCGAAGCACGAACTTCCGAACTGCTAGTACTGCTTCCATCCTGTCCCTGTGACCTGACTTTAGGCACTTGGATGGAGCCGGGAGCAGCCGGTTCGAAATAGGGAGGCGCTCCTCAGCCAAGAGGACTGGAGCAACACGTGTGCTTGCCTTTGCAGAGCATGGCACGGCACTGGCTACCTTGCCTTGCAGGAAAAGAAGCTGGTTGTGCAGCAAGCAGCAGAGGTGCAAGCGTTGTGGCGGGAAGAGGATTCCCTTGCTGTGTGTCGTCTTGGCTAACAGGCTTTGGTGTACCTGGTTGACATGGGCCTGATACATCGTGATTTCCGCTGCTTTCCTGAAAGGAGCTGTGTGCGGCGTACGGTACTGTAGCCTGCAGCTCCATGAAATCTAAGGCACCACGAACCTCATGGTTTCGGAAAGGAGAGCTTCAAGTCGACGGCCCAGATGCCAACGAAGATCGATGAGCGCAAGCTTCTGCTATGGCTGACTCAGTTCGCATTCATGTCATCGATCTGGGGCACACAATCTTGGCAGAGCTGGGCCCTCGGCAGACAGGAACAGCACGTTGTAGCTGCAGCACTTGATGGCAAGTGCATGCTTGAAGCTTGCATAAGCTTGCATTCTTGCCTCTCTCCCTTTGCCTTTCTGTCCCTCTCTCTCTCTCCCTCCCTGTCTC